AAACCCGCCTACGAGAAGGCAGCCCGAAACCTCGAGGGCCTGGCCCATGTCGCCGCCGTAAACTGCGACGAAGACGAGAACAAGCAGCTATGTGGCATGATGGGCGTCAAAGGGTTCCCGACCCTCAAGACCGTGCGCCCGGGCAAGAAGGGGAAGCCGATCGTGGAAGACTACATGGGTCCTCGGACGGCCAAGGGTATTGTGGACGTAGTTATCGAAAAGATCAACAACCATGTCAAGCGTGTGACGGATAAAGACCTTGATTCCTTCCTATCGACTAAGAACGACACGGCCAAGGCTATACTGTTCACCGAGAAAGGCACCACGAGCGCTTTATTAAAGAGCATTGCGATCGACTTCTTAGACGTCATCAGCGTCGCCCAAATCCGGGACAAGGAGGCCAAGGCCAACCAATTATTCGATATCAAGTCCTACCCGACCCTGGTACTATTACCAGGCGGCGACAAACAGAGCATAGTGTACAATGGAGAGATGAAGAAGGATGCTATGGTCAAGTTCTTGGCGCAAGCCGGTGAACCAAACCCTGACCCGGCGCCCACTAAGTCGAAGGGAGAAAAGAAGGGCGACAAGAAATCCGAGAAGAAGAACAAGAAGGCCTCTTCCAAATCCTCCGAATCTAGCTCTAAAACTACCTCGACGGAATCAGCTGAGTCAACCGATGTCCCCCCTGCCGCTGAAAAGCCTGTCGAGATTGCGCCGCCCATCCCAGCCATCACCGAGGCGGGTAAGCTAACCAAGGAATGCCTGAACCACAAAGCGCACACCTGCGTTCTCGCTTTCGTGCCCTCCACCCACGGAGAGACCGCCGAGAAGGCCCTGACCAGCCTAGCCGAGCTAGCATTCAAGCACGCCCACGCGCAACGTCACCTGTTCCCCTTCTTCGAGGTCCATACCGACAACGAGGTCACCACGTCGGTCTTCAAGAGCCTAGAGCTTGCCGGAGAGGTCGATATCGTCGCTGTCAACGGTAAGAGGGGATGGTGGCGCCACTACGAAGGCGATTTTACCCCCGAGAGTGTTGAGAGTTGGATCGACGCCATCCGTCTGAGTGAGGGCACCAAGAAGAAGATACCAGATGGCGTGATTAGCGAGGCTGTCGAGGAGACAACCGCGGAGAAGAAGCCGGCTGAGACGGTCGAGGTCGAGCCTGAATCCGAATCACCTTCCAAGGGCGCGGAGCCGACTCCCGAAGCCACGAAGGAAGCTCCGAAACATGAAGAACTCTAGATAAATAGTGATCTAGGGTTAGTATATATAGCACTAGTTGGTATTTTCCTTTGGTATACCTAAGTAGTAACGAATTAAGTTTCCATTCATAAAAAGGGGCTACTTACTCGTGAGTAAATGGATTTTTAAACCGTAACGCCTGCCAAATGCTATGCCTATCCGGCCGTGACCAACCATGACTCCCTCATAGGTTAGTTAATATTATCTATCCTCCCTTTACCACGCCCAATTTGTCTTCGTCCACGCCCGGCCTTCGCTTACGCCTAGACGTCGATATCCATGGCCATACTAACGCCCTTCTCAACGGCGCCCTCGGCTATCATCCTGGCGCCCTTCTCCTTGACCACGGCTTTCATGTACTCGTGGATGATCCTGCAGCCGTCGACGGCGGAGACCATCATGCCCTCGAGGCGGCTGACCTGGACCCTGCTCTCGCACACGAGCGCGACGACCTTGTCGGAGCTGCCCAGCGTGGCGACCGTCAGGAACGGCAGCTCCTGCTCCTCCTGCGTGTTGAGGTCCATCAGCGGGTCCGCCTGCTCGTCGCCCGCCGCGTGGCTCGACGTGCTGCCCGCGCTGCACCCCACCAGGAAGTCGTCCATCGGCACCCCCGCGTCGATCAGCGCTAGCGTCGCCGCGTTGATCAGGCACGCGAGCAGGGACCCGTCTTGCGAGAGGATGTGTAGCGACAGCGAGATCGTGCTGCGTGGGAAGAGGTGCGTGTGCAGCACCGCGGCGAGCGATTTGGCGAGTGCGGATTGGAGCTCTTGGATACGTCTGTTTGCGGGTGAGGTTAGCGGTTGTCTTGTCGTGCCATCTCATCCTATTCCATCCAATCTCATCCTATACCTTATATATAAAACCTTTACAGCAAAAAAAAAAAAAAAAGAGACAGAAAACATACTTATCGCCCCGGGCCCTCCTCTTGCGATCGACGGTACTAAACGCGCCAACAACCACACTAACCAATATATCCGCCGCATTCCCACCCCCAGCACCCGACCCAGGCCCGCCGGCGCCGGCCGCGGACGAGGCGCCGCGGCGCTTGCCCTCCTCGCTGGGGCCCGAGACCACGCACATGACCTTGGTGTTGCCGAGCTCGAAGCAGGCGGACCCGTCGGCCGAGGCCTGGGTGCGCAGCTGCGCGTGCAGCTGCCGCAGCTCGTTCCACCGCCGCCCGTCGATGCGCAGGTGCGCCAGGTTGTAGGTCGATGTGTCGAGCGGCATTGCGTTTGGTTTTTTTTTCTATCCTTTCCTTCCCTTTTCTTGCTTTTCCCGAGGTTTATGTTTTTTGTTTTGTTTCGGTGTCGTGAGGGATTACGTAGGTAGTTGGGTGCGGGTGTGAGTTGTGTCTGTTTGCTTGAGGTGGGATAATAAGGAATTGGGAGCAAGCTTGCGATGAAGCTTCTAAGGTTGTATGCGTCTGGATAGAAAATTTAAGTGGGGTCCTTTTTCACAACCTTGAAATATGTAGGTACCTAGGTACATTCCCCGGATTAGCGTCGCCTCCCAGTTTCGATGGATACACTCTTAGCTCAAGTATAAATCTTAGATGTTATCTAGATCTAGGAAATTTCAAATAATTTATGTATGAGGCATAGTTAGGCATTAGAGCACTACTAATGACTCGTAACGCTTCTTCAATCCATCTAGTGCTACGGAAATTTTGACATATTAGAGACAGTTTCACACCGAGCTAACCACGCAGGGATACATTGGACAATTACTTCGTTGAAATCATATATTCGAGTCCTCTTCAGGCCAAAATCGTTAAAGTGAGAGGTGAGCGAGTACCCTACCCAAAAGAACCCGTAGGATTGCCGTAGCCATTACTTAACAAACAGTTCCCAACTACCAATCAGCCCTTTACCATCCGTTACTCCTTTGAACGTTGCAGCTTATAAGAGGGAGGAGAAAAAAGAAACTACGCCTTGTACTACCCTACTACCATAATACCCGGATTGCCGTGTTCTATGAGAAGGGGGGAATTTAGGTCCAACGCCGGCTGCGGTTCTACTTCTTCCGCATCGGTCCACCCTCTCTCCTTACCCCAGAGGATTTTCAGTCCCCTAGATGTCACGACTTCGATGAGTCCGCGCATCAGCGCCCCTGATTTCTTGACGTTTGGCCACGCCTCGAACTCTATTCGTCCGACCCATGGCATCTCGTCCAGGACACTAGTAAGTAAGGACTTGGAGAATCGTTCGTAGAAGTTGTCCGGCTGCCGAAACCCCTTGAAGAAATCGTTCCCCGGATCACATTCGACGTAGACGGTGATCTTCGTGACATGGATACAACCTGATAGACCCAATGCGGGATTCACCACCCAGCCCCTGGGCGGACTACTCCATCCTGGTCCTAGACGTAGCTCGAGCGAGGTCAAGAATGATCGTTGGTTAGGTTTCAAACGAGCCAGCAAGGGCTTCTTAGTCTTGAAGAAACGCCCGGGAGTCGTCGGAAATATGCGAATTGGGTGGGTGCTGTAGAATAAATACGAAGCCTCTTGGTATATGGTGCGGCAAGATCTTAGAATAGCTAACTTCTGATGGATCCTCTTATAGTTATCATAATCGAGGTCGAGCACATGGCCGATGTTGGCGAAATGATAATCGTAGACCTTTAAGCGTAGTTCGGACGGAAGATCGAGAAACCGGAACGGCTGCGGTTTTTCTCGCTTCGGCTTCCGTGAATTCGACGCTGATCCATCCAACGTAAGAGCACCGATTTGTAACTTGGCTACTTCGTCGTTGATATCATACTCTGCTTCGGAAGCATAGGTTGAAGGCAAGGCCGAGCTTAGCGGAGTGGTGGCTAAAGAGACGGGTGTCGGACCCGGGCCCTTAACAGCCCGCGAACCCTTCAAACCCTTCGCCGCACCAGCCTTGCGACGCATCACGTATACGTCGGTTTATTCGGGATCGCAAGTTGGTCCGCTCAATAATCCTAGATTATCTAGGTAGGTAACGCGAAACTATTGCCACGCGACAGTTGATTGTCGAATATAAAATTCGAGAGAGGTCCTAAGTCGGATTTTTCTACTTAGTGTTTGTGGAGATTCGCTCCGTGGTTAATTTAAGCAATTGATGAGATCGAGGTTACAAGGTAGGATCGCGAGGGTGGTGCCATCGCGATTCTTCAACGAGTGACGACCACCCTCTAAAACGCAGCACTCATCGATGCCATGGTCGGATCAAGTAGGAAGTCGGTCGTATGCAGCGTAATTCATATAAGAGTAGAGATGACAAATAGGCTAAGAATCGGAAGCAGGAGTTTAATAGGAAAAGAAGAATTGCGAATTGCCCTGAGAGAAGAGAGAGGGGAAGAGAATCGGCAGTAGACAGCCGGTGGAAGAAAAGAGTACCTTGGTATTCTTGTAGTAACAGTAGCCTCTGGTAGATGAGGAGGTTGAGCGGTTGAGTGGTTGAGTCAATTCTATTTGATGATTCAATTCTTAGAATAGAAGGCCTTGAGCTAAAGGAGTTGCAACGGGTTCACCACCTGCATCCAAATTGATGACATCCAATGACTGAATGACTGATCAAGTGGGGTCGAGGTGTCACGGACATGCCGGGTTTAGGCGATTACCTTCACCACTAGACCAATTTAGTTAGTGGGGTTCCGATGACGGTCTAGGCGTTACTTTCTATTCCAATTTAGGCATAGCTCCCTTCACATCCTAGCATTGTATATATACTATCTTGAGACGAAAACTTACCATCTCAGTGTAATCACACCATTGATTCACACTCTAGGGCAGGATGGCCGAGTGGTTATGGCGGAAGGTTCAAGCAAATACTCACAGTCAAATGTGATGTAGCTTCCCTGATGAAAATTCAGGACGCTTTTCTTCTGGAGCAATCCGCAGGGGTTCGAATCCCCTTCCTGTCAATACTTTTTGTTTTCTTCTCTACTTTTATCTTTTTCTCATATATGCTCATTTATTTTTGACTGTTAATTCATCGTTAGTTACAACTTTCTTCTGTGTTTTATTCCCCTCCATTTTGAGGGCTTTTAATTTTCTGTGTTCGGTGCAGATGTGCTTAATATTTTTCACCTAATGACGTGCGTGATGTGGGGTCTTTATGTATGTAGTTTCCAATGGTAGAACTTCGGGGATAAAAATTTGGAGATTGACAGAATGCGTCTATGGAACAAGGATTGAAGCTTTTCGATGGTCTAAAATTTCCTAACTGTGCCGCCGTTCAACCTTTTCTATCCCGCGCAGTCTCTACGGACGACCTCTAGTCTGCAATTGTATTTTGCCGACTAGAACACTCTTGAAGGACCTTTAGTATATATCGGTCATTCATCCCCATTTAGCGGTAGATAAGTGTGGCAAGGTCGACAACTTGGCATCATGTTGTCAAGAGCACTTATGCGCTCTGCGCGACTACCGGCGCTTTCGAGAACAACCATAGCACATCCGGCTATTTCTAGAATATCCAATCCGACGACATCAATATGGGTACGAGGCATGGCTAAGAATAGAAACCGAAACCAGGGTCAAAACCAGCAATCGAACCAGAACAAACCCTCAGACAAGCCTGCTCAAGGTCCTAAGCCTGCTCAAGATCCCAAGCCTGCTCAAGGTCCTAGGCCTGCTCAAGGTCCTAAGTCTGCTCAAGGTCCTAAGTCTGCTCAAGGTCCTAAGCCTACTCAAGCGACTAAGCCTACTCAAGCTGCTCAGTCTGCTCAGTCTACTCAAGCTGCTCAAACTACTCAGCCAACTCAACCTACCAAACCCAAGACGCCCACGACCAAATCCCAGACGCCCACGACCAAATCCCAGACACCCACGCCAAGTCCGAAACCTACTCCTTCTGCGCAACCTTCTCAAGACGCCGAGCCCGAGTTTAAGCCAGACCTGAGCTCTCTTCCCGATCTTACCCAAGGAATTCCATCGACTCTCGAGTATGAGACGAGCGGCGCCACCGACAAGGCGGCGCTTGCCGCTGTAGAAGAGGAAGCGCCCGAAACACAAGCTGGCGGTGGGCGCAGTCGCGGAGAGCTGCCCGCCTCTGCGTATGTCAGTTCGACGGAGAAGAAGAGAATCAGGCTCGCCAATTGGATGTACGCCGGAGCGCTGGGCTTCGGCGTCCTCGGCTTGGCATATCTAGGTCGGGAATGGGACGAGGAAGAAGCTCAGATGCACACTGATATCCCCAATGGCTGGTCGCTTGGCTTGTGGTGGAAGCGCGTGATGGCTCGTTTCGGAGATGTCACGAGCTACTACAGCGAACCCGCTTTCGAGAAACTATTGCCCGATCCCGATCCTATGTTCGCACGACCATACACTCTTTGCATCAGTCTCGAGGATATGCTGGTACATAGCGAATGGACGCGAGAGCACGGTTGGCGAGTTGCGAAGCGCCCGGGAGTAGATTACTTCTTGCACTACCTGAGTCAGTACTACGAGTTGGTGCTATTTACGAGTGTTCCGTTCAGTATAGGGGAACCATTGGTTCGGAAGCTAGATCCCTTCCGATTCATCGTCTGGCCTTTGTTCAGGGAAGCTACTAAGTACAAAGACGGTGAGATTGTCAAGGTTAGTTCAATACTATGTACCTTTCCTGAAACAATATTGGTTCGCAATTACTAAATGAGCTATTGCATAGGACTTATCATACTTGAACCGCGACCTCTCGAAGGTCATCATAATTGATTCAAAAGCAGAGCATGTTCAGCTGCAACCCGAAAATGCCATCGTGCTTAACAAGTGGACTGGCGATCCTAAGGACACCGAGCTCGTCTCGTTGATCCCTTTCCTCGAGTACATCCACACTATGCAATACAAGGATGTGCGAACAGTCATCAAGTCTTTCGGGAGCAAACATATTCCGAGCGAATTCGCCCGCCGAGAAGCGTTTGCTCGCGCCGAATTCCAGAAGCAATTCGACTCTGAGAAGAGGAAGCGAAAGAGCGGGATGGGAGCTCTAGGTGGTCTGCTTGGGTTGAAACCGACTAGCATGAGCATGATGGTCCCAGCCGAAGGAGATATTAGCCCGAGCGAGGCTTTCGCGCAAGGCAAGATGCTCCAGGATATCGCGCGAGAGAGGGGTCAGCGCAACTACGAGATGATGGAGAAGGAGATTCGTGAAAACGGCGAGAAGTGGCTAAAGGAAGAGCAACAGGCGAACGAGAAAGCACAAGCCGAGGCTATGAGCAGTATGAAGTCGTCGTTCTCGAACTGGTTCACCCCCGCTAAACCGGAGGAAACCCCTGCCGAGTCCACGAAATAAATACGTGGTCTGGGAAGGTATGCAATTTACGGAGATGTATGATATGAAGAACGCTCAGGGGGGGAGGGGGCGTTGAACGATCGCATTATGGTTGTACGGGGATTACGAACGACAACCATGACTACTGCTACTAACTACTATTACTACTACGTTACCCCGGAACGAAACTCTACTCTGAAACGGCGGGCACGGTTCTTGCATAGGACGGGCTGAATTCAAGTTTGGGATGAGACTGACTGACATGTATACACACATCGCGGCCACGGCTAAAGAAAAATCTACTCGTGTCATTTCTTGGGCAAATCCTGGAGGGGGGGAAGGAAAACCCTTGGAGGGCTAGAAAGATAAGGGGGGAAGGGACGAAAGAAAGGAGGGCATGAAGATAGAAGGAGAATATACGCCAAGGTAAAAATGTAATCTCTGTATTATAGTATAAGTGAGCGACTCGAGGCTTTTTACCCGGCCTCGATTGCGGTGTATAGAACCCATCCATCCATCAAACCCCTGAATGCGGCTTTGGCATCCTATTTTGATGCCATATCATCCTGAGCTTTTCTTACGTCATGTCGTTTTTTAGAACCAACCCCCTAATACCGAATGGGGCCACGTTAAACCCTACCAAGTTTTATGCCTCGTCCGAAAACACACGTGGTAAGTAGAGAGCGCCTCCTTCCCGTAATTCTCTAGTCATTCATCCAAATTCCGTGCTCCTCTCCCCTTCCTGCTTTAGGTAGGCGGGTGCTCTTAAGAACGAGTGTGGACCATAGGTTTGCCGGTCGAACTCGTCCACATCGAGGTGGTTGTCGAGGTCGTGGGGTCCCAGGCGTTGTGAGCGCGGCACCATTCACAATTCGGGTCAGTCTCGCAGTTGAAATCGCTGTACGTATATAAGTAGTAAGCAAATGTACACACACTTATATATGTGTGTATTTAATAGGCTAATATCTGCCACCCCTTTCTTTTTCTTCTATCGTTCGCATGCTTGGAAAGTATAAGGGAGGGAAGGAAGGAGGGCGGGCAAGCGTTAGTGGGTTAAGGGGATGGGGGGAGGGAGGCATACTCTCCACTGCAAGATTCGCAGTAGTGCTGGAGCGCGGCGCAGTCCGGAGTGTCCTCGGCAGCGGCAGCCACGACGCCGGTCGGCGCCGGGGTTATGGTGCCGGTAGGTGCCGGAGCTGCGATGACAGCACCGCAGAGGGCGAGGGCGAGGGCGACGAGGCTGGAGGACCGCATGGTGAGTGTATGGGAGGTGAAATTATAAGTATGATATTAAACTTCCAAGAAGGGGTTTATAGGTTGAGTGCGGTAGGTAGTTATACCTAGGTCAAAATTAGGTTGTCTGGGGTTCTTGTGGGGATATTTATATGGATTCTGTTATTAAGGCAATTCGAGCTCTGGCGAACAGTGGAGGCTTCTGAGGTGTTATTCGATGATTTGCTGTAGATATATATAGAAAAGGTCTGATCAGATTTAGTCTTGTCTCGGCATCGAAATCTGGGCCCGGTATCCTAGGCCCGAGTGCGATGTAGGAACTCAGATTCGGCTGTCACGTCTACTCCATATCGATGGATAAGATTCAATGGCCACGATTTCCCTTCTGAAGTTAGGTTTAGGCAATGATGAACAGCTAGACTGGGTCATTTCTTGTCCTTGCCGAGGTCGGCAGTGATTCCGGTTTCTCGTCTTGTTAAACATGATGATGCTATAATAGCAGTGTTGAGAGGATACATGATGAACGTCAACAGCCTCGTGGCCTTCTGCCGCCGCTGTTGTGACCATCTTCCATCCTAGAACCGTTGCGGGTTCTTCAGTCCCACGTAATATCGTATGTTCTCCGGCCCCTTGCGTTCAGAGGTTCTTCTCCAATCTCTGTCCCTTCACGCCATAAGGCTTCCAAGCAGATTTAGATACGCAAGCACAATGTCCGCCCACGAGTCATAGCCTCATGACAGGTGGCGACCCATGTGGACGAGTTAGAGCTACCACTTGCGCTATGGACGACGACAGCTCAGGCAGCACGAGTTTCATATATGCGGTTAGCTTCATAGCCTCCATGAAGAAGCCTTCATTAAGAACGAGATCTCGGTAGTTCGTCCGCAATAGTCCCAGCTCATTGTCTCAGAACTGGTACACTATAGGGAGGTAGAGATCCGGGTATAGGGCCGTCTCTATATGTGGTTACGCACGTATAGTAAAAGGCTGTGTAACTCATCGTCCTCCAACCGTCTGATATATATCATCCAACCGATTCGGCAGCTAACTGCAAGGTACAGACATAATTTTATGCGGCAGAAGTCCCGTGTATGACAAGATTGTGTTCCATAGCTAGAACTAATGATCATTCGTAAGTGGCTAGTATAGTTGCAATAACGACTCCTACATACCCCTGAAAAGGGATTGATCATGATTACTAGTATGTAAATATTGGTAACTAGTTAACTTACCTATACATCTATAAACATTTTAATTAACTGTGGTCAATTATATCTGATTTTGAAACATTTGAAATTCTTACTATAAGTAGGAATATAAGCTGTTCTGGTACTTCAAGTTACGAGGGTGGGAAAGGGGGTAAATAACAGTGAAGCTGGCTCTCTGCAGCCACCCAGAAAAGTCAACATATACCAATTAAATCAAACTATTTTGATT